AATAAGACGAAGAGCAGCAATTCCTGTATGTTGGTTTTTCATTTTAGTCATCACTTCATCATTTGAGCGTATTGAAACCAGACAGCTGTTAGTTTCTTTTCCACTTCAGGTGTATGTGAGACACTTGCTGCTACTGTTAGCAGTTTCTGTTAAATGTAGAGCAGGAAATTTCTGCCAATGAAGTTTGGTGAAGTTGCGAGGGATCATGGGAGTTGTTGTTTTCACCACCATTCCGTCATTGCAGGTCAGCTGTCTCCCGGGTTGAGGATTCCTGTCAGGTGTGTGCAGTTGACTGCGAGGGAGGGGTGGTGCGACCAGGAGCCTTATTTTATCCATATATATGTGTTTTCTCTCTTTCTCTCCAAAACAATGACAGAGCCGGCTGATTAAAACCACTGCGAGCCGTCTTTTTCTTCTTGAGCTGCTGCTGACGTTAGCTCAGCTTGTTAACTTAAGATCCAGACTAAAATCCTTCATCCGGTTCAAATATAAAAGTAAAAGCAACCACATCCAAAAAGTGTATGGTAAAAATTGGGCTTAAAACTGGATAAAAATTTAATTTATGTCAGCTTCTTGCAGACAACCACATGACACCATTGACAGGCAAATGATATCTGAATACAATTATTTCTCTGGTTTAAACATTTTTGGAAACCTTTGGGGTAATATAAGTACACAACTCAATAACATATATAACATAGTTCCAGTGTTTATAGACATTTTATTGCAGAAATGTTACATATTTAGCATTAATGCTTATAAATCAAAAAAAAATTTGTGATGACATAATCAAGACATATTGATGAAACATTTGGATTATGATAAACCATCTTAGTTTAACATTTGCTGCTAAGAACAGTTATATTCCCATTTGTGGCATGTTATTTGAGCTTTTACTGCTGGTGTCCAGTGAATATCAGCCATTGATAGAGACACAGCCTTGTTTTAAGCTTGAATCTGACATTGAGTTTCTAGATAATTCAATTGGTTTAAGATGGTTTTTAGCCTAAAATGTAGGACATTTTCTCAACCCAAAGCATTTAAAACTTCATCTGAAAACTTAAAAATACCAAATATGGAAATACATCATTTTCAGTGGACAACACTACGTAAAAAACTTAACTTAAGCAGACATGCACCACCATCCCTTGTTTTCAGGCAGCATTCACAAACCACCAACTGTAAGAAAAGTCTAAATTTACACCAAAAAAACAAAAAAAACAATCATCCTTAAGCAATAGCTCCTCACAAAGCACAAACAAACTGAGGGCCAAAAATTATAATGAATGTTTTCATCATAATGAAGTTATGCAATTTGTGCTGCGTTGCAACTAAAACAAAGACCAAAGTAGAACCAAGATTTCACCAACAACAACTGCAGGAAAAAGCACACAGGAAGTACTGAAGCACAGACACTCAACTCTAAAGCCACGGTGAAGGTTTAGTGCTTTGAGCATCTGTAAAAAGAGTTACGCAGGAGGTGGCAGAGGAATGCAGTAATGAGCAACTATTATGCAGGAATCATGACCCCTGAACCTCACCCAGACACAGTCTAAACAAGGGTGCTGAAATGCTTTCACACATCTTTCATCCTTCGCTGCTAATGTGACAGTATTTTGCAGTATGTGTCTGATCCAGTTCCCTTAAGGCTCACTGTGTAACCAAAGGTGTTGCATCAGTCTGTAGACACTGTAAGTTTCCCCTCACACATACATCATCAGTGCAGTCAGTCTAACACCACTTAGTGATGGGAATTCCAGCTCCTTGTAGTGAGCCACATCATTTGACTCAGCTCAGTGAGAGCCGGCTCTTTCTCTGGTTTTTACAGTTCAGATACAGCAACGCTTTGACCTCTGATTAGTGTTTGTGCACGTGTATGACTGCAATTATTCCGTTTAATAATGTTAAACCTTATAATTTCCAAGAAAACAACACAATTTCACATTAATAAATATATTTTATTTGACCAGGAAGTCCCTCTGAGATCAAAAATCTCTACAAGAGAGATCTGGTCATGGTTGCAGCTCAACACATTAAAATACATCATATATACAACATAAATACAAATACAGAAGACCTTTTTAAAACCCAATGACCTCTCAAGAAAAACAACCACATGACATGTGGTGGCTTTATGATGCCCATAAATTCATCAATGGATAATAATGTGTCTAATTTTAGATCTTTTGCAGATGAATCCATGTTTAAGGTGCATAATAAAGGTTTGGTGCACATTAAAAAGCAACCACTACCATAATGCTTGGTATAAAAACCTTAAATAATTCAAAAACCTTTACACATGTATTAAATGATTTATTTATATTGAAGTACGTTTCGTTACACGATATTATCACGATAAATATGAAAATATACTTCATACTTTTAAAATGGTACTAAAACATACTGAAATTTGTTAAGAAACACAAATATTTATTACATGACAACGTACTAAAGTCCCACCATGTTTGGGTTTTAATATTATTACTAGAGTGAGACGTTCCCGGGTCATATTTAACAAATACATTTTAGGATCTTTTTGTTATTCTGTCTTTTATTAATGTATTTAAAAAGAAAGAAATGGGAGATGGGAGATAAATGAACGATGGGAGCCTCATAGAGCATACTCATTTACCAAAGAGTACTGGAGAGCTGCATTATTTCTCAAGTTTTACAATGGAAACAACTAGTAAATAAAAAAACACAAGCTTCCAAAACAAGTTCACCATCACTAGAAAAGGTTCAGATATCAGTTTTAAGAGGAATGACATTCAAACAAACAGATGTTAGCAGGATGTGGTCAGTTGGATTGAAGGAGAGGTCAATCCCCAGTCAAATATTTCAGTGAAAAACTGACAAAACCAAGGTTAATTATCCACTTACGTCCCTGTGTCACAAGGTTGTACACTGCTGCTGCCATTTTAAGAACCATCATACCCTCCAAAATAAAGTCATTTTGAAATTAATTGGTAAAGGAGCATGTGAATCCAGTAATTTCCCTGGATGGACATTTTCATACATCCAGATGTTTCTTTCCCTGCGCCCTGTAGAATTAGGAGCACAAGTCGTCTGGATAGAATTCACCACAGGTCCCCGTTTTGTTGTCCTTTACATATTTTTAAAAAGCTGCCCATGTGGTTATCGTTCTACAAAACTCTGCAGTGCCATTGTTCTGAGTGGGAAAGTTTAGTCTGGCCAAGTTCTTTGCTTTTCTCCCACAGCGGCAAAAACCTATCACATGTGCAGAAGCAGTGTAGCAGATGTGAGGACTTTGTTGTAGCTGAGCGTTTGTTATTCTACTGTATGGTAAATCATTATCCTCTTGTTGTTATGCAAGTTAAACACGCTGTCAACAGAGAACCAACTTCAGCGAGGCTGTCACATGTAAGCCTCTGCAGATGGAGTACAGAGCTGTCAGGCTGCATTGGGTCCAGCTGTACAACACAACCGTGATCACTTCAGCCTGAGAATGTTTTATTGTGACAGAGGCACATTTTTAATTTTTGTCAAAAAACTTTATTGAACCATCTGAAGGAAAAACCGCCAGTGATTATGTAACATATCAGAAAGGCACGACAGTGTGTTTATCATGCGAAAGACCAAGTTGAATTATTATTATTTTTTATTAGTAATACAGGCAAAACAATACATGTAACTCAGGATTCTGATTTTGAACTTTATCATTATTTTTGTCACTTTAAATAAAATGTTCACATTTGGCCCCAATCCTCTTCCGTATTAATAGGTTAAGCTTTATTTTTTTAATTATTAATGCAGGTAAAACAATACATGTAGCATACAGGACATAATAATCATTTGTATGACTCAATGATCAATTTTTTTTACTTAGTTTTTTGTTTTGTTTTTTGAAGGTAGCAGTGGGGAAGGGAACTATCTAAATTTCGTTCTTTAACCTTGTTGTAAACAATAATAAAATATTCTTGAATTTTTTAAACCTCACAAGAATTGGACATAAAAAAGTAAACAAAAAAAACTTCCATGAGGTTAAATTCAATTATTCAAATAATTAAATAGACAGTACCAAGACATTTATGGAACAAATATATACATATGACAGATTGAGTGTATTCAAAACTATATACAGTCTCAATCTTCATTAGAGCATATTTTCCCCATTTCATATGATGCTGTTCTAATTTGAAGTGGTTAAGGGTAATTATTTTTTCCCAAAGATATTGGCTTTGCTTTTGTAAAAAAAACTCCATCCAAATCCAGACCAGTGTTGGGCTAATTTCTAAAAAAATCTAATTTATTACTCCTTTCAAAAGTAATATTACTCTATGCATTACTCCATATTTATTGAACATTAGAGTATCAATCATATAAGTCACAGTAAAAACAGGCACATTTCCCACAATGTTGAATTATTCCTTTAATTAAAAACTCCAAGATGAAAAGGTGCTATTGTATAAAAAGTACAGTGTACTTACATTTAAAGGTCATACTTTTGGGAATGTAGTGTGTAATCTACTTCAGGACTGAAAAGGACACAATTACTGTTAAACCTAAATGTTTAATGAGAACATTATTAGAAAATGCTAAAACCTGCCTGCCCTTTTTATTCTGTACAGGGAGTTTCACACTGACTCAAATGAACACATCACAACTGGCCCCCGATCAGCTAACCTCACTGCAGCAGCTGAAACGTTTCCCCATCTGTCCGGTTGAGCACATTTAAACTGTTGAACCTGTGATTTAACACATGGACTTCAGGATGTGGTGTTGTCAGCCAATTAGCTCACAGTAAGATGACTGTTCTGCCTCTAAGGGTCTAAATCAAATGAATCAGATTTAAGCATCACCACTTTAAAGTGAGACACAGAATAAATATTGTCCCTACCCTGAGCCGTGACCCTTGTGAAAACCACAAAACTTAATATTGGCCCCGTAATGTGTTAATGATTGAGACACACTCAGGGGTCCTTTAGCTAGAGTGATGGTTCTCCACACACAGTGGCAGGAAGTGACACACAAACGCATGGTATTATAAAGCACAAAAAACAACAACTTTATTTACAAAAACAGACCACTGCCCCCATTCCCACAAACCCCTAAATTCAATGACTACTGAGGAATGCTATGTCTGTGGCTGAGGTTGGGAATTTACAGGACTGAGAAGAACAACACCCAGTGCAAACCTTCAGTGTTCTTCCACCCACTTATTTAGTCTGAGTTCAGCCGTCGTCTAATGCCGCAGTATGGCAACACTTCTCGAACCGTGGCCTGAGGCTTACAGTGGGTTAGAGGTTCGGCTTCTGTTTGGTTCCCAGTTGCAAGTAAGCAATATGCTTTAATGAGCCTGGGGGCCGACAGGTTACCAAACACACAGGTAGGCGAGGGGGCTAAGAAAGATTTAATAATACCATCTTGGACCGTGGTATATTCAGAACAGATCATTCTAATGAAAACACATTTAAAAAATCATAGCATACAAAAACATGTTTAATTTTGTGAGGACACACAAACTTGCTAAACAGACAAAAAAAAAAATCTCAGCTTTCAGGAGTCTTCTGTCCAGAAAGCGTGACATCGATCTCAACAAGTTGTGTCCATGTGACTTTTCTGCTTGGCGTGAGCAGAAAGGCTTTTAAATAAAAATGTATTCGCTCGCAGACGATGACAGATGATTTGGACTCAGTATGACGGTGCAGATGACAGCGCGGTTGCTCTTCACGCCATCGGGGTGCGTGTGAATTCTGTTTACACAGCTCTCTCTCTGTGTGTGTGTATGTATGTGTGTGTGTGTGTGTGAGAATGATACTCATCACAGCTATGTTTGGGTGACAATGCTGTTCCAGGCAGAACACATTGTTGTGGGAACACAATGTCACAAGGTAAGAGGGCTACTCGCCGAGACTTCCTGTCATGTTTCCACTGAATGCTGTCTTTATCTGGCTGCCTGTGTATGTGTGCATGTGTGTGCGTGGTTTCTGCTGATTCAACGGCACATACGAGGTGTGAAAAACTTGCACAAAGTTCTCAGTATTTGAGGCAGTAAGTATGTACGTGGTGTGATGACGGCAAGGCACTCGACAGTCATGTGGGTGATGTTCTCGTTATTGAATGCAGGTATTTGTTTCGGACGAGGTGCTATAATTGAGCAACGTACTGGAAATGCAGGCATGTGACGTCTTGTGGTATGTTTCCATGTAATAAGGGGTTCGCCCACAGTCTGTCTGCCTTATAACAATCCATACTGTCAATCTGCGTCCTTACAGGGTCGTACTGTGGACCAGTGTGTGTGTGTGTGTGTGTGTGTGTGTGGTGGTCCTAATGAGTGCCTCTCTGTCCGCCTGTACTGTATGAAGGTGTCGAATTTAGAACGCGTATCGAGTGCGAATGTCCTCCAGTTTCTTAGAGACCTCGGGTGGCGTTCTGTCCAGCTCTTCTGCCACACTCTTCTGCTTGTGAGGGTCCATGCTGTTAAACTGCTCACACAGATCTCCGTCAATCACATTCTGGAGAGAAAAACAAGAGAATCCACAACGTATTGGTTTAGTAGTCCGAGATGCTGATAGGTACATCTGAAAGCAATCAACAGATCCAATGACAGAGACATGTAGATACCAACCTTGACCGGGAAGTAGTAGGATCTGAAGCTGAGATGGTCTCTGCCGCACAGTGGGGGGAACTCTGAGCGCATATGCATCTCTAAATGCTGGAAGAAGTCATGGTCCTGGACAAAAAGACAAGAAATGAAAGCTCGATGAAAAACAAGAGCAGGAAAAATGGGGAGACCAAAAACATTTTAAACATTTTAAATGAAATATGATGAAATGGTTTGTGTTATTACCTCGTGCGAGGTGAACGGGACCAGTATGCCGATGCCTCCGGACAGAGTGGTGTAGACCAGGGACTCTGAACCTCCAGGGATCAGTGTGGTTTTCTGGAGAGATAACACCGTCTCTCCTACGTGGTAATTCACTACCACCTCAGCCTGGAGACACAATGGAGGGAGACAAAGACGGTCATGTGATATTGTTGTCTAGTAGGATTCATGTCCCCTAGAGTGACATTCATGATCACTTCAGCCCAAGACACAACCAGATCAATGGCAATCATTCATTTCTGACCCCTCGCAGCTCTTCGAGACCCGATGTGGCTCAGAACCAGATAATCATTGGAGAATCCATGACACTGGCTGGACCAGGACTGAAACGGAAACCTGACTGCTCCGACTGCTCAGCTGCGCAGCCATGCAGGTCTTGCACAAGATGGAGACAGACCCAGTCCCGACACACAAAAGGTCTCGCATATTTGGTTGTAAAAAGTGTCGGCCAGCACCGTTCTTTTATTTTCTACGGCACTGAATCACAGGGAATGTAGAGGGGATTTTTTTGGCACTGAACAATAGAAAAAAGAAAGAAAGTGCTTTAAAAATTAGGTCACGCATGCTATTAATGAAATAATGCTGCCAGTTTTTACAATCTGTTTTTGACAGGAAAGTATGAACACAATCTAGGTGCTGAAATGGGGTTATTGTCTTCATAGTATTGGGAAATGTCTGATTTATAAGCGAAAACACACACACACTGATTATTAACTTGGTGGTGGAGAAAGCTTAGATTGAAACTATTTCAATGACATCTTGACTTCCTCTCAGTGACTAAGAACATCTACAACGGAAAATTACAACAAGCACAGAAATCAGATCATATAATAAACAAGTCAGATGTTATTGAAGACATTTCAGGTCCCGAGATCATCCGTCCTGACAGCTGCACATATGTATAAGTACATGAACGGTAGCCAAGGTCGGACAGAAGACACACACTGTCATCTAATGCTTAGAGAAAATGAGTCCGGATGGTCGGATCTAATCCAATAACCATTAAAAAACTGCTTTGCCAACAATTAGAGGTAATAATCAGGATGTGCCTTGGATACAAAGGCAGCATTGGGCAGCAATAAAGCCTCAGTATTTGTCTGAGCAAACTTCATACAGGTTATACATGACAGGGACGCCATGGGGCCAAAAAAAAAAAAAAAAA